TGCGAGCTGCGAGTTGCGAGTTGCGAGTCGCTAGCCTCGCTTTGAATTAGGCTTTGAAAGTATATTAATATGGACGACATGGAAGGCAAAGTCGAAGGGTTTTTTGTTTCATAAATATAATGACCTTCGAAGTTAAGGTCCCTGTAACTAAGACTTCGACACAAAAGAAAATGCTACGATACGGACGAGATAAAAATCGGCCTTTACTTGTTTTTTTACTTTGTTAGATCCATCGATACGTATGTTCAAGAATTAAAATAATTATATTGAAAATAAAAGTGCAAGTTTATATTTGCCGTTTCTGTGTTTAATAAAATCTAGTAGTTATCCAGACCATTTTGTGCTTTCTAATCTTAAAATGGTTATTTAATTTTATTAGTAAGTATGACCAGACACCGACTCAGTTTGTTTATATATACTGAACGCTGGGAACCCTATAAAACTCAAGTCCTTTTCATCGGAAGTACAATTTATTTTATACAATTTATACATAGACATACATATACATATACATACATAAACTTTATCTAAACACGGGAAAAAACCATCAGTATATCAAAACGATTGCTATTTACAAGTTTGTAAGTATAAAAATAAATGCAATGAATGTTTATTTCAAAAGCTGAAAATTGGCGCCAAATTGAGACAAAGCTAAAATCACATCCGCCAGGATGCCATACAGTTTTCAATTTGAATTTTTAGTGTAAACCACAGGTGTAAACACCTGGTTCGGTGCTTCAAAGCTAGGTTAGTGTTAACCCTGGGTTAAAATTAAACCCGATGTTATTAGAAATTAACAATATACTCGTAACTCGCAACTCGCAACTCGCAACTCGCAGCTCGCAGCTCGCAACTCGCAACTCGCAACTCGCACTATAGATAATCTCCCACGCTATACGACACTACTATACAACACTATACGACACTATACAATACTATACGACACTATACCATGCTATACGACACTATACAACAGTATACGACACTATACAAGACTATACGACACTATACAACACTATACCACACTATACATGACTATACAAGACTATACCACACTATACAACACTATACAACGCTACACAACACTATACGATACTCGACAACACTATACCACACTATACATGACTATACAAGACTATACCACACTATAGTCCAGGGTGCGATAATTCGCGTACCAACGTACCAGAGGTACGCCAAAATTACGGTCTGGTACTTCTTTGTTTTTAGCCGAGTACCACGTAGGTACACGAGAATTTGCCGTTCGCGTACTTACATTTTCCTTATATAGCAATAACTAGCAAACCTTCCAAGGTATTCAAAACCGTCAATAACTTGTACATGTAAATTCCACCGCATCCGTCCGGCGACATATTTTGGGATCGAACAAGGTTGTTAACTTTGTTATAAGTGTTTTTGGCGTCTACGTCTACTCTACCTAGTAAATCTACTGTAACTGAGCGATTGGCAGTCGAGTCGCAACAACGCTTTGAAAATTATTATGTTATGTCACGTACAAATACCATTAAAGCTTTGTTTGTGCAAAATTGTTCATAGTTTTCGCTTTTTGACCAGTGAGCCATTTAATGTGATCTAAACGTTTTAGGCTGTTCGAAATCTTAAGTTTTATTTTCTGTTATGATTAGCAAGCCATTAAAATGTTTATCATGAACTAACTAAATGAGTAAATGCGGAGAATTTAGTTTTATGTGTGATAAATTGTGTACCAATAAGTGTATTTATTAAATATAAAATTCAGAAAGGTTTAATTTCTCCCGTTAAAGACCGTGCATTATATACGTATGTGCATGTAAAACGCAAGACTCTGAAGTATAGCCTTATAGGTACACCTTGACTCTTAAGTTTGTACCAGCTCAAGTATTCGGCAAAAATTGTAGGAGTATACCAGTCAGGTACGGCTAAAAATATTGAATTATCGCACCCTGACAACACTATACAACACGATACGATACTATACAACACTATACCACACTATAGAAGACTATACAAGACTATACAAGACTATACAACACTATACAACACTATATGACACTATACAACACTACCACACTATACAACATGGTAAAGCCGGTCGTATAGTATTGTACAGGGTGAGTAAAAAAAACCTGATACCTTCGCGACTAATTTGAATAACAAAGGTGTCAGTGTTTTTTACTCACCCTGTATAGTGTTGTATAGTGTTGTATAGTCATGTATAGTGTGGTATAGTGTTGTATAGTGTCGTATAGTGTCGTATAGTCTTGTATAGTGTATAATTTTCCGCGCGTAGCGGAATTTTTCTTTGTCTTGTGATTTCTCGGGTGGAACTAATTAGAAAAGACAAAGAGAAATTTTGCTCCGGGTGGAAAATTCCGCCTAGTGGAAAACAGCCTTAAAGCATATGCCATATGTTTTAAATTCATTTGATCTGTCACTCTGATAAAGCCGGTTTTCCACTAGGCGGAATTTTGCACGCGGAGCGGAATTTTTCTTTGTCTTTTCTAATTAGTTCCACCCGAGAAATCACAAGACAAAGAAAAATTCCGCTCCGCGCGCAAAATTCCGCCTAGTGGAAAACAGGCTTAACAAGAGAATATTTAGATGTTCTTGCATGCCTTTACCTTGATTTTTGTCTGCATAAGCATCACTAACCAGTAAAAGATAGGTATGCAGTATAAACGCAAGAGTATTCTGGAAATGTTTCTTCATGATATCAAATCTAAATAATATTATATATATATACTATATAGATATGCGAGGGGTAAATTACTCTGAAAAAAAGTGTACGAGGATTTTTGGGATTAGAAAATCCCGGCAATTTTTCTTGGGTTTCTGGGATTTTTTTCCCAAATTTAAGGGATTTGGGGATTTTTTTCAGCTGATTTTTTCGAAATATTTTCCCTTATTTTTTTCGCCGAACTTTTTCCGACATTTTTTGCGACATATAATCCGTCGAATTATTTTTAAAACGAAGTAAGGGACGGACCATTTGATTTTTGATGGGGGGGTGGGTAGATTTTCAGTTTGCTCGATATTTTTTTTCCGCCTCCGGACACTGTTCGATTTTTTTTTGTCAGTCAGAGGACTTGCACGATATTTTTTTGTATGCATGTATATATATTTTGTGGTTTGTGTTTTTACATTTTTTGGTATATAATAGGTAATTGTATCACTATATAATTGCCAAACGCCCCTATCCCTGTCTTATAAGCTCCTACACCACTAACACCATATTTGGACGCAATCACCCACAGTCACATGATCACCCTAACCATCACAATCATTCAAACTCACTATACCATTGAGTAAGTTAACCCTTAATTGAAGGACCTGCAAATTTGCTTCACTTCACCAATACGAACGATGAACAATAAAGTGCGTAGTGTTGGAATGTCCCGCAAACAACAAGACCTTTGGTAGGATAACTTGTCTAGTAACATGTATAGTAGTTACATCCTTTCACTGTGTAATTGGTTATATTCAGTTATTTCATAATAATTTGCTTCTCTTCTTCAAATTATATCTACCCCCCCCCCCTTAAAAACCCTGCTGAAGAAAACTGCTAGGTCCAAACGCATACCCCTGTACGCTATTCCTAGTCAATTTCAATCTCTCGCTCTGTTATCCTCGTCTTTGATCGTGTCCCATAAAAATTTCACCTATTTTAGTTTCTACGGCTGTGATTTAATTACTAGATTTTAATGAGGTTATGCAATAACAAAGGTTAACAGCTAGGGAACCAAGCCTCGTTACGTCGGCACATCATGTGACCAGAAGGGGGCTGGGCGAGTATGTAATAAGAGGTTGGCCGCGCATTGGTGGTATTAGTAATCATTGTGCGTTGGAAGCGTAGTAAACGTATTAGGAACAAAGATTTTTTTTTCTCTCCTGTTCTTTTATATTTCCACCAATTGTTAATTGGTGTGAAGGTGTTAGCCCTGCTGGGGTGGTCTGCTCAAGATACCACTGGCATGGATCTTAACCCGAGTCCAAGTAACAGTAGTACCAGTAGTCGTTCCAGGCCACCCGGGCTAACACCTCACCATCCAAACGGGTAAGTATGGTGAACGAAGGTGTTAACGTACATGTTCATCATAGGAGTCGGAGTAAAGAAATAAAGAACAACCATTTTTGGAATTATACTAGTCCTCCCATTATTTAGGCTCCAGGGCCGTAGGAAGCTCTTTTTGATTGGGTGGGGCTGAAAGCGAGGGCCGAAGGCCCGAGGAAATTTTTAAATTTGCAGTCACTGAAATGCCATTTCCTGGACCCTACAGCCCCCCAGTTGCTACATACGGCCCTGGGCTACACCCGGAAATGCACCGAATGGCAAATAAGGATTACCACTCGAAAGTCTTGCTCGATATTTTTTTTCGTCTGTTTATTCTTGCACGATATTTTTTTAAGTTCGAATTGCTTGCCCGATATTTTTTTTGGGATTCTACCCCATCAAAAATCAAATGGTCCGTCCCTAAATCAACAAAGGGAATTTTCACGCCAATTCACGATTTAAATGTTTCAATATTGCCGTAATTTTGAGGATTTTATTTGACCTTTTCCAAGTATTTTATGCAATTTTTAGAGATTTCTTGGGATTTGGGGATTCTAGGATTTAGTAAGATTTTGAGATTTTTCCAAAGATTTTACGGGATTTTTGATGAAGTGTACGAAGATTTTCAGAGTAATTTACCCCTCGTAGATATGTGTGTATCAATCACGTTACTCCATCGTTGTCCAATTAAGTTTTTATATTTGAATCCGAAATGAGAATAATTTAAATTAAATTTAAAGCTCAGATAATATATTTGCCATCTCACACTATGAGTGCGATGGCAAATCTATTATCTGAGCTTTGAAATTACTCTCATTGCGGATTCAAATTTAAAAACTTAATACACGCTTCCGGAAAGTACGTCACCTTGGCTATCGCCTATAGAGTCTCGTTTTTGTGATTGCGACGTAGGGCCTTTACTAGTATACTGTCGAGAGACCTTCGATGTGGGACGGCAACGCAACGACAACGGCCAGAATAAAATCATTCAAATAAACGATTGTAAAGAAAGTTTGTAGACTATAATTGTCTACAAACTTTCTTTACAATCGTTTATTTGAATGATTCTATTCTGGCCGTTGTCGTTGCGTTGCCGTCCCACATCGAAGGTCTCTACAGTATACTAGTAAAGGCGTATCAATTTAATTCTGTCTGCATGGTTAGCTTGAAATAGTGGCTTTATTGTTGAGAATGAGCATTTTTGCACTTTGCTGAGTATGAGCATCACTTCTCGCGTCTTAAAATGCAGGCGTTTAATCCATGCTAGACGTAAAAGTCTGCAGGTTCCCGTTGTAAGGGACGGACCATTAGATATTTGAGGGGGTGGTTGCAGAAATCAAAAAAAAAATTCGAGCAAGGCTTTATCCTTAAAAAAAAACGTGCGAGAAGAAAACTTGATAAAAAAATTCGTGCAAGCATCCATCCTATGAGAGTAAACTCCAAATTCCTGGACCCCTAGCTATACAGTGGAACTTCTGGACATAAAATATGAATACATAGAATGCCGTGACAATCCTGATGATCACCCATTATTTCATTATGCGAAACTTCCAAATTTGTGAAGGCACAGGAGTTTTAAAAATTAAGGCAACGAAACCTGCAAACGGCATACGGGCTGTATGGCCTGCAGAGGAGGTAGGGTATATACTTCATGCCCCCCCCCAATCGCCACAAAAACCATTCTCTCAAAAAGGCTAAATCCGTAGAGAAATTGGGGGGGGGGGTGGTACATGTTACATGCTCGAAGCTGAAACAGATTAATACTTGAGGAACTTAAAAGCATTTGTTAAAGCATTTGTAGTCTTGTAGATATGGTTCCAAGAAGAATAGATTTAGTTGAGATTTTTAACTGTTAATTAATACATGTATGCATTATCATAGCATGAATATTTCTTCTCAGACTTATTCTGTATCATATTAAAAGCAACGCAATTTTGAGAATGCGGAAATGGTGTCTCATGGAACCTAGAATGATTTAAATGCAACATTTCTGATCAAAATCACATGCTTCCCACAGTATCACAGAGGACAAATAAGGTGACACTGACCCCTCCTCCTGTTTTTCAAGGTGACTTTCCAATTTATTTAATTCCGAGTAGAAATGTCTGGGAAAATTCATGTCTTGGATGTACACTTTATAATCTTCGGAATTCGGCTAGATTTCACCCCCAAAATGCTTGAAATCGCATTTCAGGTACTCTAGATTTCTAGATTTCTCACGCCTTTGGCGTGAGCTTCGCCCACCCAAAAATGAAGGTCTGGCTACGCCACTGGCCGGAAACGGAGCAGTCACTGTCGAAAGGGCCTGTTTACATGTACACTATCAAATTTTCTTTCAAAGATATTGTAAGCTGCCCTTTTTAAAAACTACAAATAAAAACATTCTTGCAAGCGTTTGACTATTAAACGAAAAAAAAGCGTGCACAACATGTGCGTCCAAAATAAAATTCCTGCAAGGAAAAAAGCTGCAACCACCCCCTCAAATATCTAATGGTTCGTCCATAAACAGACCGCATCCATGAATGACGTCTCGAACCTCCGTGGATATTCTAGTGAGCCACAGTGACGTACTTTCTGGAAGGTTGTATTGAACAAAAAAGATGGCATAACGCCGACGATTTAAAGATAACAACAAAATTTAGTGGTTAAAACTATTTACAAAATTTGAAGCTTGCGCTGTTGCAGATGCCAAATGTTTCCAAAATCAGCAACCATTTGGGCAAATATTTGAAAACGGTTTGGAAAAAATCCAAAGCCAAATATGCAATTTCAAGTTTCAACAGGTTACTTTAAATTGTATTTGCCACATCACAATTCGCAACGATCTAAAATAGGTGCCAATTAAAAGACCGATCTTTCAACATGAACGGCCAAACTTGGATCACCTATGTTTGCGCACCCTTACTGCTGTAGATTAAGAATGCTCAAGCCAACTCAGAATCCATTTAGACGTTTCGAGCGAAGGCCTTCCTCGGACTATAAACGGAGTTCTACAATTTTCAGACTGGCGATCGAGACAATATTTAAATATTAACAATAGTTTAAATTACGTTATCATAATTACCTCGTTCATATTAGTAATTGTCCTGATCATTAATCTATCCAGAATTTATACTTAGTTGGTGTGTTGTCCATTTTTTGAATTGTTAATTTTCTTCAGTGATACTTAATAACCTGCATCAACATCACGCATCTTCTAGTGAAAATGAACAAAGATCCCGCAAAGCAGATTGTCACATCTTGTCAAGTTCTTCAGTAATTGATCATCTGTTTTCAAACCGTTTTGTCTGTTTATATGATGCTATATCATTACAAGTTTTGAACAAATTTTACTGAAGCATACACATGAATAAGCCGGACTCTCGAATAAATTCGCACGTTATTTAAGAATGTAATATGCGCGGACTTGTATAATATGTGCAATCGTTCCAAAAATGTGAAATTCGCGATACATAATTAAAGTGGTCACGCAAAACGTGGATGCGAAAAGAAGTTAATTTACATACAAACCCAATAAAAACTGCGTATATTTTTATTTGTCACATCTATTATTAACATTTTGCGTACAGACATTTCGTTTATAAGGCCTGGTTAGTAAATTTCCATGCGCCGCATCTAATGGGTAATGTGAATTACATGGGTCGACACATGTCAAATACTAAAATTCAACTTTTCTAATTCATTGAGCAGAGAGGTGAGGATATATGCAGTAAAGTTGGGCATGTAGTAAAACATGGACTGGACTCATTAGTAAAACATGGACTGGACCCGATTAGTAAAACATGGACTCTATTAGTAAAACATGGACTCTATTAGTAAAACATGGACTCTATTAGTAAAACATTGACTCTATTAGTAAAACATGGACTCGATTAGTAAAACATGGACTCGATTAGTAAAACATGAACTCGATTAGTAAAACATGGACTCGATTAGTAAAACATGGACTCGATTAGTAAAACATGGACTCGATTAGTAAAACATGGACTTTATTAGTAAAACATGGACTCGATTAGTAAAACATGGACTCGATTAGTAAAACATGGACTCGATTAGTAAAACATTCCTAAATGTAGTTCCTTGTCTGTTTTTTTGTAAATTGTAATTTTAATAACATCAACTTTAGTGTACAAGAGATCTCATCGATATTTAACGTAAAGTTTCAAGAATCATCGACCATTTAACTGAAATGTGGAATAAATACCAAATTATTTACCGACAGCTAGGTAATGCTATATAGGATGATTTCTTGATTTTTATGTAAACAGAAGCACCTTTGCAATGGGCGTACCGGAAGGAAAAAATTAGGGGGGCGGAAAGAAAATCGTCCGACTTTTCGTAAAATTGCCCGACTTTTCGTGATTGTGCCCGACTAGTACCGAAAAATTTTTCCCCTAAAAATTATTTTGGCGACCTCCCCGTCGCCAAAAAAATTTCGGTCAGTGTACCATTTAAGGGGTCAAAAAAATTTTCCGGACATACCAAAATTTTTCGGACATCACATAATTTACTAAATTTTCGAAAAAAATGACAGAATTTGTCCGATTTATTTTTATAACAACCCAAAATTGCCCGACTGTTAATCGAATATTGCCCGACTGCCCAAAAACTGGGGGGGGCTACCGCCCCCCCCCCGCCCGGTACGCCTATAACTAGACTTAACTCTTAAGACGTTTGTATACATCTGTTTTGTCATAAACAAGAATATAAATATCTATGGAAGTTAGAAATATGGGGCTTAGCAAGGCTTTTATAAATCACCAATCAATTTTCTCAACAACAAAAAATGACGTCATGTCAAAAATTATATATCACCCGCATTTTTGTTACTTAGGGTTCACATCTCTGTACCTCATAGCAATATGTATTATTAAGAGCAATGCATGAAGCGGAAAACTCAACGTTAACTATAATTAAAGAATCTAAATAGTATAAGCTATTGAAAAAAAAATGCTGCGAAAGAAAGTGTAGCAAAAAAACTCGTACATGGTGAAAATAAATAAAAATCTTGCGCATAACGATCCCAGAAAAAATTCCCTGCAGCAGTAAATTACCCCCCCCCCTCAAAATTTAAATGATCGGCCCCTAATCGGGTCCAGTCCATGTTTTACTAATGAATTCAGTCCATGTTTTACTACATGCATAGGCGTACCGGGTGGTGGGGGCGGGGGGGGGGGCGGTAGCCCCCCAGTTTTTTGGGCAGTCGGGCAATATTCAATCAACAGTCGGGCAATTTTGGTTTGTAATAAAAATAAATGGCACTAATTATGTCAATTTAGTCGGAAATTAAGTCAATTTTGTGGTAAATTTAGTGTTGTTTGGAAAATTTGTGAGATGTTCCGAAAAATTTTTTTGGCGACGGGGGGGGGAGGTCGCCGAAATTATTTTTCCGGAAAAAATTTTTCCGGTACTAGTCGGGCACAATCCCGAAAAGTCGGGCAAATTTCTTTCCGCCCCCCTAATTTTTTCCTTCCGGTACGCCCATGACTACATGCCCTCTTATACACTAAAGTTGATGTTATTAAAATTACTAGAAAATACATGCATGCAGAAACCCTCGCCTTCCTGACAAAACCATTGTATTTTCCGAACGTGAGGTTCTAAAGTAGTTGTCATGGTAACACGATAATTCTTTAAGAATATTCTTACAAATGAAAAATCGCCTAAAAATATCACTTTTAATTACAAAATTATT